GAGCGCTGCAAAACGTGGAAGAACCTGTTGAAATACTGCTGTGGCCCCGAGTGCAGCTGTTCTGGCGGGGAGGGGGAGTGCAGGTCCCGGAGGGGCAGCCCTGTGACAGGTGAGGAACACGCTGTGCCCGTGGGGCGAGGCCGGGTGGGGCAGCCCTTCCCCAGCCTCCGGGAACCAACCCGACCAACTCTGTGCTGTCCTGACCCTGCTCTGTCATTGCAGAGTCCACAGAAATGCCAGTGCTTATAGTAAAGTGGTCAGACAGTGCATATTGCTTAATGATTTCAGAGTCTTTGAGCTAGTATTTCACAGGAGTGACTGCTTTCTGTAAGCTATAGAAACTCTGTGTGCTGTGCAACTGTTAGTTTAACAAAAGATAGCTGCTCCTTATCACAGTTTCCTGCACTTGGTGAGATGAGAACTGGCAAAGGCCTGTCTTCTACAAAATAAAGCAGCAATATGAGTTAAGAATAGCATGCTACTAGAAATGGATCTGTTCCTGTCTCCAAATATGTTTGTAGTTGAAATAAGAGAACAATGTAAATCCAAATTTTCTGAATTTATCAGACATCGTTAATTTTTACATAACCAGCTGGGCATCTGAAGGTTACAACTGTTACTCCTCCCTTTAGGTTTTATGTAAAAAATACTGAATTAAAGTAGGAATGAAAAAGTCAGATATATAATATAGAGTTTCATATGCTCACCCAGTCAACCTGTGACTTTTTTTATTCTTTAATCCTTTATGTATGTTTATTCTAGGCTGGTATGTGGTGAAGAGAGGCTGAAAAATGTTTCAGTATTGTGTGACCATTTGAGTGGAATACCAGGACATTGTCGTCTGTTTCCACTTTAAATTTTTAAGGAATCAAGTGCAAGTACTGTTTCATAACTTATCCTTGAGATAAGCATCGAGGATGTGGTGTCTACAGGAAGTGTTTATATGGAAGCAGCTGGTGGTGTTTTCTTGAAAGTACTGCATGGACAAGTGGAAGTTACTCTGTTAGGTGGATCAAGTTCTACCCTTTCTAATATCCCTTTTAGGGGAAGTAAATTGTTTATGTGGCATGAGATGGGGTGGTCTATGAGAGGAGGGAGGACAGAGTCTGATACTGATGTTTTGGTTTTCTGGTTTTTGGTTTATTTCTTTGGAATCTAACATTCTCTGCAGAGTGTATCAGCAAGCTTCCAACTCACATTTATTGCTGTGCCTGGGTGGACAGGCATGTAACAGATTGACCATGAGATCTGAAAACAAGCACCATGAATTTGTGTCCAAATCTTACACAGCACTAACCAAATCACAAGTGATATACTGGGGTCAACAGTATTCTTCACACCAGCGTGCACACATTATAGTGTGCCTTTCTGAGAGCTTTTAAGAAGAAAGGTTATTTGAATGGATGTATAATATTTGAAAGTATCAATACCTTAAATACATAGTCTGAAATTCTGTTGAAGTATATCTATTGCAGTGGTACAAAAGTCATACCCTCTAGTGCTGCCCTGGACCTCGGCATTGCCCTGGGGAAGGTGTGCTCGCTCTCTCTTTTGTTGGTTAGCAGTTTAATTCATCTGTTAGGAAAAGTAAAAACTGTTCCCCTGAGTGACATAACACCTGATGGAAGATGTTTGTGACTCAGTTCTTGGCTAAGTGTTGTACACCTGCAGCGTGGTGCCAGAATGCTGGCACTGAGTGCTGGCCTGCTGTTCCTGGAGGGCAAAACCTCCAGGTGTGATCAGATTCAGAGCTGTGACCATATGGAGGCAAAGTGGTTCAGAGTACTCCAGGAGGGTGAGAGGAGACTAAGCTATCCTTCAGCTATAGCTGATATTTTTCCAAGTGCTAGTTTCAATTCTGAAGAGTATTTCTCAATAGTAGGTGTGGTACAAAACCTGTAGGACTGTTTTGATTGCATAGTTTTGCTGCTGTAGAGGAGTCCAGCTAAATAAAACTGAATAAGTAATTGAGAAGAGTAACTGGGGAGGGGCCTGGCTGGCCATTACAAAACTCTGCAGAGAGGCAGTGGAGACAGTCCCCAGCTCCTTGTTGAAAATCCTCTTTGCAATAATATCTTAGGGAATAGATACACCACTTATTTGACACAGTGATGTTTATGAAACATTTGGAAGAGGCATGCTTGCATAATAGTCTTGGGTTCTCTTTCTCTGCTTTCCTCTTTCCTTCCATAGAATTTAACTGCAGCCATTCATCGTTTATTGTGTTGACAGTGTCAAACTTTTGTTTTACTTAAGATTATATCAACACACAACCAATCTTTCCTGTCTTAACCATCAAATATCACCCTACTTGTTTTCTGAAAGATTAAGAACTACGTAAAGCACATGCCCAGATTTTGTGGATGTTGAACTACGTGGACTTTAGTAAAGCCTTTGACACTGTTTCCCACAGCATTCTCCTGGAGAAACTAGATAACTCATGGTTTATATGAGTGCACTCTTTGCTGGGTTAAAGCTGGCTGATGACCGTGCCCAGAGAGTGGTGGTGAATGGCTGGTCATGAATGGTGTTCCACAGGGTGCAGTATTGGGGCCAGTCCTGTTTAATATCTTTATCAATGATCTGGACAAGGGAATCGAGGGCACCCGGAGCAATTTTGCAGACCACATCAAGTAGGGTTGGAGTGCTGACCTGCTGAGGGGTTGGAAGGCTCTGCAAAGGGATCTGGGCAGGCTGGATCAATGGGTCTTTAAAAGATGTGTAGATATGGCACTTAGGGGCTTGATTTAGTGGTGGACTTGGCAGTGCTGGGTTAACGATTGGACTCAATGATCTTAGAAGTCTTTTCCAAGCTAAATGATTCTATAATTATATGATTTTAGATCATCAATGTATTGCCAGTGTAAAGGCCATAAACATAAGGTAACTTAAATAAGAATTGACAGAAACTTCTGGAAGTGTACAGTGGGCAGAGTTGCAGACTATATTGTGGAGCATCAAATAAAAAATCCCTAAATAAGTGGGTCTCTACCACAGTACAGCATGTATTATGGGATTTAAAATTCAGAACAGCAGTTGGAACTGTAAAATGGAAAGCAACGTGCCCAGGGAAAGGCAGGGGAGGCACCAGATAATTTTTTCTGTGGGAAGCTGGAGGCTTGTTTGTGACCTCTAAACTAAATTATCCTGAACCCTTGAGCAGCAGAGAAAAGCTCTGCCAGGTCCATGCAATGGTAGAACATGAATGGTCTCACCTTGATGTTCAAATAGTTGGATTAGTCATGTATGTCTTGTTTTTCTAGAGAAATAAGTCAAGGCTTATTATCTTCTAAGTGTGCAGATCAGGATAAGAGATGAGTCAGTAAGAAGTTCCTCACAACCAGGACTGGAGGGGCTGGATTCCATGGAGAGCAGTTGGAGACAGTGGTGTTAGCAGTGTGATGCAGTAAAAAAAAAGGCAAGCTAGAAAGGTTCCAGGCTTTCTGTAGAACTGGACAAATACTTGAATTTCAAAATTCTGATTTTTTTGCTGTTATATACACTAGAACTTTACAGCACAAGAGAAGTTTTGTGAATTATTTCTATTCCAAAAGGCAGGGGGTTTTAATACACTTTTAACTTTTTTCTCAGTAGCCCTGTAGAACAGCAAAGTTACCATGAATTCTGTTCTACTGCGGGAAAGAGAATATTGCACCATTTTTTAAGGTGTCAGGTGAGTCTGGAAAAGGTATACTTTAGTTGACAGATATAGTTTGGGCCTCACTTGTTTCATCTAGATAGATAGTTTTCTTGGTCATTGCATTATCAGATGCTTCATGTACATAAGTAACATAAAAGACACCATTTATTATTGTTCATATAGTCTTAGAGTCTATTATTGGAGCACTACCAATGACAGTGAGAAGAGTTTATTCAAGTGCAAACCCCACTGCTGCTTAAATAGGAGAGCTGGGTGCTCTTCTTGTTAGGAGCATCCAAAACCTATGTCTGTGGTGAATACAAGATCCATACTTGGAAGAATAAAAGAACATGCTACCTAGAAATAATATTCAAAGACAAGTTCCTTTCATTCAGCAATCCATTATTTGTGGGTAGTGGTATGGTGAACTTCTGCTAACTTCTAGTCACTGTGTTTTAATATATTATATAGATAAATCATCTCTGTTTGTGTGTGTGTATATGGTATCACATGATGATAACTATATGTAATATGTCTATAAACCCAATAAGATGTAAAACATAGTACAGAAATATAGATAAAGGTAGGAATGTGAGATCATCCTGTTCAGTTGAGTTAGAAGTCCTCCTTCTGAGCGGTTGGCTTTCTAGAGTGAAGCAATTTTTCTCACTTCCTATTTGAATTCATTATTTTTCAGGGAACCATTGGACAATCCCACATTTTGTCAGGAATCCCACCAAAACAAGGTGTCTTACCCTCAGTGACAGACTACAGTGTTTGGGAACTTAGAGTTATTTATTGGTTGTAATTATTTTTATAGGATTTACCAAAACCCCTAAGTACATGGAGAATCCGATTATGGTCTCACACCTAGATTAGAAATAATTATTTAAAGAATTATTTTAGTAGTAAAACTGCTGCAGTATAAAACTGGTATAGCTGGGAAAGCAGTGAGGTTGTCTTCATTAGAACTGAATAAAATGAGATCATGCTTTAGCTCTTTATTGTTACCGTTGTGTGTGTGTGTATCCTCGTTTCTTCAAGGAAAGATTTTATATTTTGAGTAAAATTAAAAGCAGAATTAAAGGGGATGGCACTGTTTTATATTGCCAGATACCCATCTCTGTACAGATATAGCAGACAACAAAAAAAAAATGATTCTTAGGTAAACATTGAAAATAGTGTTTCACTTTTAACAGTGATTATCCTGAAGTTACTTACAATTTTCAGATTCTATGGGAAAAACTGTCAGAAAATGGCTAATGACAATTATCACATTCCATTGCTGATTTTCGTGAGATCTGCATGACCCTTTTTTTTTTGTTTTTTCCTATAATTAACCTGCAGTTGTTTCCCACAGCTACAGTCTTTCTAGAGTTTTGGAAAAGGCGGAGAGCCGTGTTAACCTATGACTGGGACCTCATAGACTGGGAAGATGAAGAGGTAAGAAGAAACAGAAGTAAACATGTAAAGCATGATCTAAATCTAAATATGAATCCATATTGTGTGTTGTCATCTGAGTTTGTCATTCAGATTATATTTCTATTTATAACACTAGTTGCAGAATAAACAGGTATATTTGAGACTACACAAGGATACTTTGCCTTCTGCAACTGGCATTGTAATTCCAAATATAATTCCACATTTATCAAAAGTATCCTTTGAAAAACTGAGTGGAAATATTTTCCATACAGTGGACAGGAGCCACTACTGATGTCAGCACAGATGCTTTTCAGTTCTGTGATTTCTTGTAGTAGAAATTCATGATCCTGCCTAAAAATGGGATCAAAACAAGCAAAGGCACAGAAACTGGATTTTATATCCTTCTGAGAGGCATAGATTATCCTTTGAACATTCTGCTACCAGCATCAACAGTAATAAAATGATTTTATTATTTCATAGATCATTACTTAACATAGCTGTAATTTAACTGTATTGATGATTTAATTGCAGTTGATAGACTTGTTTTATAACTTTCCTTAAATGGGTAGATACAAGCTGGTTGGCTTTTAATAAATGATTTCATATCACCATAATAACTGGCATTAGTTTTCTTATCAACTTCTGCAGACAATCTAGTGTCTAAGTCACTAATGCCTTCTTTTTAATACCCTCACATAGTGGGGAAGGCTCTTATGGTCTCTGTTCTTTGCTGCTCTCTGGCACCGTTTCCAAGGATTTTCAAAAGAACAAATTATTTGGGTATTTTAGTTGAAGCATTATAAAAAATAATTTGTATCAGTATAATTTTCTACTTTATAGCACATATATGTCTGACTCTTGAGAGAAATAAGTAATACAACAAATGGAATCCATCCTGTCATTCCAGGAAGAGCTGCGTCCCCAGTTTGAAGCTAAATATTCCCAAGTGGAAAGAGTAAATCCCATCACAGGAAAACCTGAGCCTTTTCAACCTTTCCCTGATAAGCTCAGTCGACTGATGGTGTCTGTCTCAGGAATATTCTTCATGGTGATGTTTAATAATATTAGAATTCTTGTATTGTAATTCATTTTACTCTGATGTAAATAGTAACTCCTCATGAGTGCATTCATTAAGATTACATAGGCAAAACTGATTGTCTCAGTCTTACTGCTTGTTTAGGGATCTCATTCTTTCAAAAGAGGAAATGTAGTTATATTGTAAAAGAACAGTAAAAGTTTTTTTTAACTCAACTAGTATTTTTGCTCTCTCAAATTCTGCTCTCCAAAACAAATGGGAATCCTTAAAACACTTGTTGATTTATTATTTCACCGGATATTATTTTAGATATCATATTTATCTTTTGGTCTAATATCTCTGCTTGTAAATACACCCTTGTAGATCTCGCTGGTCCTCACTGCAGTGTTTGCAGTGGTGGTGTATAGGCTGGTGGCCATGGAGCAGTTTGCTTCTTTCAAGTGGTATTTCATCAAGAAGTATTGGCAGTTTGCAACCTCTGGCACTGGAGTCTGCATCAATTTTATGATCATCATGTCACTCAATGTTGTAAGTCTTCTGCTCTTTTAAAGGAGGGATTAATTTAAAAGAGTAGTTTTTACAAGATTACTGAGTTTAGCATGTATCACTTGTATATACATGTTTGTGCTTATGCATGGGGCAGTGTCTGAGGCTGGTGTTTCAGGAGGTTGTTAATGTTTTTCTCTGATTCCTCTTTAATTTGTCAATGCACATCTTTGCTTATGTCACCAAGTCACAGGGGTACAAACTCCCTGCTTTCTACATTTGCATTTTTGGGGGAGTTTTTATTACCTTTTACAGTACATCTCTAAATGGAACTACATTATTTCTTTGGCTGAGAATTTATTTTTTAAGTTGTTTTTAATGGATGACTTTCATTTTTTCCCTTTCATTTAAAATGCAGCTGTGGTATCAGTGTTGCACATTCCTAGAATTACTTTGATATATAATTTTGGTGTAAGTTTTTTCTGTCCTATGACAGCAGGAGTTTAATCATTTGCCATTGTAGCACTGTGTACATGGATAGAAACTCTGTTCTTCCAGCTGCAATATTATTTATCATCTTTCTGTTCCCATGCAAGCACAATCAGGTAAAAAGGAATAACAACACAGCAAACAATGGCTTTTAAATCTCTTAAGGAGATTGTGCACTCATTTCAGTAAGAAATGATTCTTCCAGTCAGAATTGTGTATTTGTCTCTGTTATTATATATGATCACTCTGAGTCATAAAAAATACGTTCAAGTGACCAAGCAAAGCTACCAGAAATAACTTGCTATTTATAGTAAATACTCAAGGAAATATTTTTCAGAGTTGGTAACTGCCTTGGGCTCTGTCATTTAAAATAAAGACTGGGGATAGTCAATGTATTGAGAAATAAGGAAGTTTTCAGTAGAAAGCTGATATCCTCAGCCAGTATGCACATTCATGCAAAGGAAAACTGCATCTCTTATTTCTGTTTTAGGTGTATGAGAAGGTTGCCTATCTCCTGACAGACTTAGGTATGTAGGTTTTCACTAATGGTGTGGTTCTTGCTGGCTGTGGCATGTACCTTTATAGTCCCACGAAATAGGGTTTTGAAGACTTCATCTATGCATGGCACATTTCTGGCATTTCCCTAAGCAAGTGAGAAATATCAAAGAGAGAAAAGAAATTATTATTTCACTGGGGAAATAATAATAGAAAAGTAAGGAATTTATTCTTCTACTTCTTTTAACGTTTCATATTACATATTCATATAATATACATTGAAAAAGTGTCACCTTACTTTGGAGTGAAATTCAAAACACATTATTTCTTGGAATCTTTTTTCCATTTTCTCCAAATCCTTGTTTATTTTTTACTAATTTTTAATTTGAACTTTCATATGGAAAAAAAATGGGTTAAGATAAAATTGTGTTGTCCAAGGTAAAAATGTTAAGTCAAGAATTTTAAAGTGGCTCTAATTCTGTCACATTAAGATTTTATACTGAAGGCTCTAGTCATGATTCAGTCGCAGAGAAAAAGCTTTCTAGCTTATAGGAAACAAGAAAGCAAAGACAGAATTTATGATCTCCGACTGTTTCAATGTGTTACCGTTCAGTGTTTTTACATACTCACTTTTAGCCCGTGTCAAAATATGCAAGTCATCTTGCCTTGGTTAAACACAAGCTGGATGCTTAAATTCAACAGCTCCCTCTTCTGGTTAAAGTGTTAAACAAGGTGCTCGGAACTTTATAGTGCTTCAGGTAACAGGCAGTTGAAGAGGTTAGAAAGATTCACAATGTCTGGTCAACTTACTCAAAGTATTAAAATATTTTAAAGTACTTTTTCGGATCAAACTTATTTCTATTCCTTTTAGAATATATTATGTTGTTACAGACCAGGGAATAGGAAAGAAAATAACTGTTTAAGTGCACAAGCTGTTTTTTGCCAAAATATATGAAAGAATTATAAAAAAAAAAGGAATTTCTTAAATTAAATGTGATGGAGCATTAGGTGTTCGAGCTAGGTAATTCATTACTCTTTCTAAGGTGTTTTACATCAGAGAAGGACACTTTAACTTCTGGGAACAAGAGTCCATATGTAAAGCTAGTATCCTGTATGTTTGTGTCCAAATTTAGTCATCATTAGACCAGAGTAATTAAGCAGTACAAATTTTAACTGACAAATCTTAAGACTCATGTATGTGCTTTAATGTAGTTTTCAGTGTAGTATAGTCCAAGTTTGGTACATCCATCAAAGATGGATTTTGTAAAAATTAATTTTGAATCATTATCACCACGTTCTAATTCAGACATAAATAATGCTCTGCAAACCTTGAGGAAAAATATCCAAGGCAGTGCAGACCCACACAGAACACTTATAGCCCTACAAGCATTTCTACATTTCTTTCCAAAATAAGCCAAAAAAGAACCTCCATCCTTCCCTTTGATTTTTGGTCTTTTGTTGTTGTTGGTTTGCGTTGGGTTTTTTGTTTTGTTTTGGGGGTTTTTTTGGTCTTTGTTTGGTTTTGGTTTCTGTTGTGTTGTGTTTTTTTCTTTGAATCAAGATACCTTTAAAGATTCACACTAAATTCAGATTTTTTTCATGGAAATGGAACAGGTGTCTTCCCACAGAATTGTGATCTATTCTGTACTGATTCTGTCCTGTACTGCATCTCCTGTTTCCACATAGAAATGGCATAGTCTGAGCTGGGGCAATGGTTTTGTGATCTGTGGACTTGAACACTTTCAGGGAAAAAAAATTATTTGCAACCTGATGGGGCAACATGGCTTGAAACCATTGCTTGTTTTGTTAGTGTTGATTTCTGTGTGAGCAGAGTTACACATAACTCAGTTTCATTTTTGTTTATATAATGTATATTGTGTCTTTCTGAAGAGCACCCTAGAACAGAATCTGAATGGGAAAACAGCTTTGCCTTGAAAATGTTCCTCTTCCAGTTCGTCAACTTGAACAGCTCTATCTTCTACATTGCCTTTTTTCTTGGCAGGTAAGTTACCTTTGCTCACTGCACATACAGGAAAACTTGCACAGAACTCAAAATCCTTATTAATTTTATGGGTTTGAAGAAAATACAGTGGCAGTTTGAACTGTAAGATTTAGGTGCTAATTGGTTTCTGGGGATAATTAGTAACACTAAATTAATGTTTTTCACTGTATGTGCAGGTTGGGCCCTTGAAATATTTACCCATGAAACTAGAGAGTAAAAATTTTACTTTTTAATTGGGTCTGCATATGTGACTTTCCTACAAAATGAGAATTCAGAGCTTTTGAAAATACAGCCACTGCCTAAATGTGGGTCTGTACTTATTCCTCTCCTAATAGGCTTTATTAATTTTTTTCTTTTAATTCCCTATGACTTACATCTCCCAGGATGCATTTCTACAAATAGTAAATATTGTCTGGCAAGTCCTGTGCAAGAGTAGGAAGCAGAAATTCTGGCTCCAATTTTTGAGTGTATCTTTAGCTCAAAGCATGAGCTGCAGTACAGGTCTAACCTTCCTTCCTCTTCAGTTCAGTTTTGTTATGGCCACACTTACCATTCCTCCAGAACCTACAGAATATTTCAGAGTACCTTCTATAAAGTGTTACAGTACAATTTCAGTTCCAGATTGGTTGGAAAAAAAGCAACAACAAAACCAAACAAGCAGAAAAGCAAAAAACCTTTTTGTAAAATCTGTTAGTGATACCTGTTTGTTACATCCACTGGTGTATTTGCCATCCAGTATCTAAACTTCTTTGTGTTTTGCTCTCTCCTGTGTCTAGTAGGACCAGGCATGGGTTTCTTTCTCTGTCATTTATAACTTTCACTGAGGTCATCAAGAATTTTGATTCAATTTGTTATACAAACCAAGTGTACACTTCACGGGGACAAGCAGATCCCTGTGCTGCAGTAAATTCCTATGTATTGCAGTGGCTTATCATTTTAGAAGTAGATCAGATCTGAATAGCTAACATCTAAAACCTCTGAAGCTGGTATTTTTGTTCAGGACATAATAAAAGCTTGGGGTCATTTGCAAAATGATGGTCCTTGTTTGCATTCTGAGACTTCCATATCCTACAGATACCAGATTTAAGCCTGTGTGATTGAATCTTTTGATATTTCCTGAGTTTATCCAGTGGATGTTGTGAAATAACTGCTGATAGAGGGTGTTCTTGGAATGTCCACTGAGAAACAGAAATCTTATTTTCCAGATTTGCAGGCCGCCCGGGAAAGTACAATAAGCTTTTTAACAGATGGAGGCTGGAAGAGGTAAGCAATCCTGCTTTGTGTTCCTGGGATATTTCCATGAGTAAAAAGGAAACGGCTGAAGGACGTGAATGCCCAGTTGGAAAGATTTATTATTCCATCTGTGTGCAGCAAATAGTGAACTCTTATTTATAGCAAAGGATAGGAAAGAGGAGGTGTGTTTTACCTTCTGTGTTCTCCACTTGCTGAGTGACTCTGCCGAAGAGACAAAGTTCTTTCTGCCTCTGTCTTTGGGAAAAGTAAACAGGGATAGTCCCTTACCTCACAAGCACTACTAAGTCCTACAGGTTTGGAATCTCCTGAGTATGTGGAATTTTTGAATGGAGGACATAAATATAAAGCCATCAGCTTTTTTTTATCAGCTTCTTAAATTTCTATCAACACAGAAAAGACACAGATCTGTTGGAGTGGGTCCAGACAAGGGACACAAAAGGAGTCAGAGAGCTGGGGCACCTCTGCTGTGAAGACAGGCTGAGAGAGTTGGGGTTGTTCAGCCTGGAGAAGAGAAAGCTCCAAGGAGACATTATTGCTGCCTTTCAGTACTTATAGGGGCTTATAAGAAGAATGGGGACAAACTTTTAGTAGAGCCTGTTGAGACAGGACAAGGGGTAATGGTTTTAAACTAAGAGAGGCTAGATTTAGACTAGGTATAAGGAAGAGATTGTGTTTTTTTAATGTGAGGATGGTGAAGCACTGGAACAGGTTACCTGGAGAGGCAGTGGGTATCCTATCCCTGGAAACAATTAAGGTCAGGTTGGATGGGGCTTTGAGCAACCTCATCTAGTTGAAAGTGGCCATGCTTATAGCAGGAGTTTGGACTAGATGATCTTAGGATGTCCTTTCCAACTTAAACTAATCTATAATTCTATGATTTAAAAGAAGAAAAATACTGTTTTGAAAATTTAACTTGAGAATATGTTAGGACTGCAACTCACCAGCATGCTGAAGTTATCTCTTATCTCTGAAAAACAGATTTCTTCTATTGAACCTTGATAGCGACAGAGTAAAACATCATAACTTTGTAGTCCATGGTCTGAAAAAATAGTTCTGTAATTACTAAACATTTTAATATGACAATCCATTTAGTTAAGATACCAGTACCAGAAATTCAGCCTCTCTTTGGACTTAGAATATTGCCAGTTGTTCCATTCTTTCAAAATGAATAAGTATTGATCTAATTGAAATGGTCTATATCATTTGTCATATATCTAGTACACATACCTTTAACTTAGGTAATATGATCTAGTTCTCCAAGAAATAATAAGGTTGCTCAGCCTGTGAAATCTGTGTTAATATTTCTCTTATAAATATTTTTTTAATATTTCTGTAGATACAGATTAGTGTTTTTCACCAAACATATTTAATATTTTTCATTTACCCTCTGAACAAATAAAAATAAAAGAATTCTCTTATTTTAGCTACTGATCTTTTTCCACTTCATTTCAGTGTCATCCTAGTGGCTGCTTGATAGATCTGTGCTTGCAAATGGGAGTTATTATGGTTTTAAAACAAATGTGGAACAACTTCATGGAACTAGGCTATCCGTAAGTTCAGATGTTAAAGTTAATTTTACAAATAGTGAATACATTTTAGGGTGAGTCAACGATAGGAAGAAGTATTTTCAGGTTTGGAGACTGTTTTCACTTTTTATATCTCACATACTGTAATTTTATTCCCAAAGAAAGCATTGACTGCTGCTCTAAGACAAAGCTTCTTGGGGTATGTTAACTGTAGAAATTGTTTATTATAATGTCATTTTCCATAACACAAAAAGAGCTGTTCAGCTTCTGAAGAGAGTAATGGGGGTAAGAGTCTTACAGTTCTCTTGAAACTGGAAGAATATGTTTTCAGGAAAAGATTGATCATCAAATATTAATTTAATTTGATTGAAGTCTCAGCCGTGACAATATGTCAGAAAGGGTTATGCTCACAACATGCAATCATTCTGCAAATGAGGGGCAGTGTACTGTATGTTGTGAAACGTGGATTTTTGGAAAGGAGAAACCTACTTGAACTACCAGTCTTCCTGTCTTCTCAGCCTAGCAGGATCCTAGCTGTGTCTAGAATTTATTTTGGAATTATTATTATTTTAGAACATGCTTGTATTCTGTAATGGAAGGAAGTGTTTTGTTTTGACAGAACCATTGTTTGCAACTTTGGCAACAGTTGCTCTTTCAGTAACAAGAGAGATCAAGAGCCAAACACTAAATTAGCTTGAGAAAAAATAGTAGCAATTTATAAAAATACTTATAAGAAAGTTTTCCATCTTCAGTCTCTTTTCCTTAATATCTAGAAACAAACAGTAGTCTTAATTGCCCCCTGTGTCAGTACTGGATAATATTTTTCATTTGTATAACACTTTAATTTGTGAGCTGTTATCTACTTAATATTTATAACTACTTTGCAAAAAGATATCTGCACAGCTTTATGAAAAATAGTCTTAAATATTTGTAGCTTCAGCGTTCAGCAACACATTTTTAAAACCCTTCTTCCTGCTTCAAGAAAAAAGATATTCTGTAGGGCATGTAGATCTTTAGGTTTGTTCAAAAATAAATGTATTCTACTACTCACTGTGTTCTAGTGAGTTCTTACTGAGCTCCACTTAGTTTGTCTTTTACAGAACCGAAAATAAAATTATTTATTTTTTAATGCTCTTGCTATGCATTATTTTTTTTCTTTTTCTTTATTTTTTTTTATTTAGTCATTCAGGTAAATGCTACAAAAAAAGAGTCTATGCAAGCATGTTCCATGTTCTGAAAAGCTTATCTGTACAATGCTGAACGTGCTACATTAAAGATATAATTAAAATCATAATGCAGAATTTTGAGAACTTTTATAAGTTCTTTGAATTATATCTTAGATGATATTGTAAATATTTCCAAAAAATACGGAAGTAAGCCTTCAGGTGCTATTCAAAATAGGCCTACTTACTTCAAAACAATACCAGAAAATATTTTAAATTACTGAGCAGATACAGTCAATAATACTCTCTTTATCTAATGAAGTTTGTTACAGAATTGGTGGTCACGACGCAAAATGAAGAGAAGAGGGCAATCAATGGAGAATAAAATTTCTCTACCTCAGTGGGAAAAGGATTGGAATCTGCAGCCTATGAACCTCCATGGTTTAATGGACGAATATTTAGAGATGGGTGAGCAAATTTCGGGGAGGCGTCGGTTTTGTACAGGAAGAGGGCCCGTGTTGTGTGCTGAAAGATCTCTCGCGTTTCCAGTTTCTAACTGTAGAAATGCCTGTCTAGTTTTACAGTTTGGCTTTACCACCATCTTTGTTGCTGCCTTCCCATTGGCACCTCTCCTGGCACTGCTGAACAACATCATAGAGATCAGGTTGGATGCGTACAAGTTTGTCACGCAGTGGCGCAGACCCATGCCTGCCAGAGCGACAGATATAGGTGAGAGAACCTGGTGGCTGTCGCTGTCAGTACCATCCCTTTGTGTTTTCTTCTTTAAAACAGCTTAACTCTTGAAGTATTTCACGTATCAAGACAGTACTATAACCTGCAGATCTCAGTGACCACTCTCCTGTTGAGCAACGGAAAGAGGACTCATCAAATTTGGGTTTCGTTGCCAATTGTAATAGTTTGAATATTGAAAACAGGCTAAACAGTATTTCAGGCTTCTGACTGGTGGAACTCTAGGTTTAAAATCAAATGAATTTAGAAATTAAATATAAGGACTAAATTCACTTTTGGTTTAAAACTGAGTCTTGACTAGTTTTTCTGACTCATAATTCTTTCCCAATAAGAAAGGAAAACTGTATGTCTAATAATGACTTTATTATCATAGTATGACTTTATATGACTTAATAGGGTCATAAAAACCTGACAACGTTGTTTTCATTTCTCTTGTTTATAGGTATCTGGTATGGAATTCTGGAAGGAATTGGAGTTCTGGCTGTCATCACCAATGCCTTTGTTATTGCCATTACTTCTGATTACATTCCACGTTTTGTCTATGCATACAAATATGGTCCCTGTACAGATCAAGGGTACAGACAAGAAAAGTAATTAAGATATTCTTTATATATACATATATATTTCAGTGGAAGCACACTTTTGCTGCTGTATTTCTGTGATAACGTACTTAACATATAACAGATATATTTCTCAAATAAAATAGTCTGCTCACAGTGTGTGATAGCAGAATATGCTTATGTACAGGATCTATGCTGTAAAAACGCTTTATGAAGAAGGTTCTGACCTTTTGGCTTTTCCTTTCAGATGCTTAAAAGGATATGTCAACAGCAGTTTATCAGTATTTGATCTGAGTGAACTTGGGATGGGATACTCAGGATACTGTCGGTATGTCTCCCTTCTTGTAATGCTGGCATGGACATTAAAGCAGACAGTAAATTAAAAGTTAGTGCTTAAATCACTGGTATAATAGTTTCCTTGTTTCCCTGTAAAAAGCATTGCACTTCTGGTTTGTTCAACATGAAGTTTCAGGTGCAAACAATGTGTGGAAGGACACACTACTAACACATTGAAAACCTGTGTTCTGAGTTTTTCCAGGACTCTTGCAAAACATTATCTTTCATGCCTCTACAAATTATTTAATTTCAAAGTTTCACCACCTGCCAAGAAGGGTGAAAGTTCTCATTTCGGTTTTGTTAAGCATTCTGAAGTCTCTTCATTAAAATAATTAAAGTTTTTGTGGCTCTACCCCAGGTTGAGATTGCAAACAGTTATGCAAAATGAATACAAGAAATTCAGCATGAAAAGAAATATGGTGTTGCAGGCGTGAACTCCTGGTTTCAGATTTAGTTTTGCTGTGAGCATTAGTTTTAATTAGAATTGTGTTACATTTATGCCAACTTTGTCTGGAGAACTTTAAGTGCTTATAAGCAAAGACAAGAACAAATTGAGAGTCAACACATTTGAACTTAACACTTCAGCTTTGTAACAATAAAAGAAATTGTTTGCTCTGGATTCTTGGAAGCAAAAAGTACCATCTCATAAACAGCAGTATTTAATACCCTGTATTGTGGACTGTTCTCCCTTTCTGTTTCATTCCTCTTGAAGTCTGCTTTCACTTCAGTTTCTTTCCTTTTAGGCAGATCTGGGGTGAACTAGAGATCACTTGACCGTGTTTAGGTTTTTCAGCACAGGCTGACTTATTTGGTTTCTCTTTGCTTTGCAGGTATAGAGACTACAGAGCCCCACCATGGAGTTCAACTCCATATGAATTCACTTTGCAGTTTTGGCATGTCCTGGCAGCACGGCTGGCCTTCATCATAGTATTTGAGGTTAGTTGTGGAAAGGAACAATTCCTTTCTTCCTCTCTAAAGTCTGAGTTGATTCTTTACAGTAGTTCTATAAGTAAATTGCCATTTTCATCACTTGCTTTTTCATCATGGTCAAGAGAGAGGAAAAAAAAATTGTCTTCCCCAAAGGGTGGTCTATCAGCTGCTTCAAACAGAATTGACAGAACATGCACTTATGAGTCCCTCTAAAATCATATTTCCTTAACAGTCATCTTATATGTCATGGTGGTTCCCAACCAAATCTTTTACATTTTATTGGAAAAGAAGAAATGCAAGTTTTGAGTCCATTAGGCTCGGTTATTACGAGATAAAATATGTGTTAGGAAAATGATACATGATTCTAACCTAATGTAAAAGCAGAAATATGTTTGAAGAATGTATTGCATGCTCTTCAGGAATCTGATTCCTATTTCCATTATAAGCTCTTAACAAAGACTGCTTGTAGTTAATGCTTGCATTTGTTTGATTAACAAGTATATCCTGCAGTCACACCTTCATTTAAGTCACTAACTGTACCCTTAATTTTACTTTTTGGAAGTCCATTTCAGCGTTTCCCCATTTCTGTTAGACCACTCATTTATTCCCATATCAGTGTGTGTTTTTATTAAAAAAAACAAAGCAGTTACCTTTCAGTCATGAATTGAACCTCAGGTCCAGTTTTACTACAGACTCTTTAGGCTTTAAAAATGTGGACCTAGAAATGAATAATTATCCATTTTTTAAGCAATTATTTTTTGTTCTTCTTTTCAGCACCTTGTTTTTGGAATAAAGTCCTTCATTGCCTACCTGATTCCAGACATGCCCAAAGACTTGTGCGACAGAATGAGGAGAGAGAAATACTTAGTCCAGGAAATGATGTATGAGGCTGAACTGGAACATTTGCAAAGAGAAAGGAAAAAGAACGGGAAACAGTATCACCACGAATGGCCTTAGTCACTACTGTGCTGCAACAAAAACACTGTTTGAAATGGAAGAGTGTGGTTGCAAAACGAAGTCAGGGTCGGGCACCGGCGTGGGAGATCCGCTCGTGGTGTATATATGTTCTTGCTGGGCAGTGCAGTTGCAGACTTTGGTGGGCACTGGCAACCAGATGTTTCCAATGATGGCAGTGAAAAGCCTTACCTGTAACTGGTCTGTCTGTGGTGAGCTCCGAGGAGAACTGGCACTCAGGAACGTGCAGTCAGCTTGGACACTGGTTTGGAAAAAGGCCAGGAATGTTCATGCTGTTCGTGAAGGTACAGCATGAACCTTCAGCATAATGAAATTGTGAATTACCAGCGTAATGAAAACAAAAAAAATTCCCTGTGAACTTAGAGTAAGGGCATGACTAAAACCAACTTATATGATATCCACTACTTCTACAGCTTCTGATTGCTCAGTTCCATCTGTAATGCCTCTAAAGAAAAGAGCAATTGTTGCCTTTGTGGCCATAACTTGATCTTTCAGGCTTACTGTTTTGTCAGGTTTGTCCTAGTCTCTTGCTGAGATTGTGGATGTGGTCCTACCCTAACAAAAGGGGTCTGTGGCTGCTTAATATATATACTATGCAGTTTAAGATTTGCACATCAGTGTCATTGATTTATCCTTCTAGTCGAAAACCAAAAATTCCAAATTTCAAAAAGAAAACAGCAGCACTAGCAGAATGCATCACATTGCCCACGTTGCAGCTCTATTTGAAAATGACACAGCTGTTGAGTTGTCTTTCCACTGGTGTGTGTGGAAAGGCCACCTCCACACGCTTCCAGGATGAAAGAACTGTCATTTTCCTGCTCTGATGTAGCATGCAGGTGTCTGTGTTACTGTTCCTTTTGGCCTGTCTGGGCAATGATTCCATGACTTCACAAAATGCTAACTAACTTGAAATATTCCCATGCTGTGCAAATGACTTAGTCTTCAAAATACAATTAACTTTTTTATAGTATGCAAGCTTCTGCAGATATATATCAGATGTACAGTATAACATCGTGACTTGCTTGTTCAGGGAAGGAGAAACAGTTTATAACAATGCTCTTCTTACTGTAATAGTAAATGTTCCAGTAACATACACTTCTTTTATTGGCCTAAATATGTCAAAACATGGGAGATAGATACAGGCAAATATATATACAGATTGTACATAAATGCATACACACACAGTGGTTACTTTTATTATTATTATTATTACTATTATTATTATTATAATTATTATTATTATTATTACTATGCCTTCTTACAGTTGGGGAGGGGCTTTTTGGATAAAATCACTATAAAAAGTAGATGTTCATGTAAGAATCAAATTTCAGTTTTTATGTGCAAACAGCATACTTGCAGTGTTGTTTGTGGTTATAGTTAAATTTTGGTGATGAAATTGTCTATTACTAGCATTTCATAATAGGGGAAAAGCACTTAAACAGTTTAAACAAGTTTGCAGGGATGCCTTGCAGAGAAGGGTGTGGAGACCCAGAGCTACAATCTTATATTTCTCTTGTACAATTTTAAATAATGTTTCTCTGTGTTGGATGAGAAAATTTTAAAAAATCAAAGGGTCACAAAGCACAGTAACTATAAAGGCTGCAAATTTTAACATTATTTTTAGGGATAAAACTGCAGCAAAACCACTGCTGACAGATATGAAAAGACCTGAATTTTTGCTATTTACAATACCCTATTGAACTAAAAAGTGTGATTCCAATATTCACTTGCATCTATTAGCACAATAATTTTATTTTATTCTAATAAAATTAATTTCAAGAGTCAAGACCCATCAGAGTGGGTAAATAGAATCTGTTGTATCCAGAGGACCTAGCATCAGACTTTTAAGTTCTTTAATTGTTTCACCATATTCATGAGATTTCTTGGTTAATTCCTGCTCTCTGTGACCAGACAAGGCAACTATAGGAGTACCTGCAGTATTGCATAACAGGAGGAAAGAAATTTGAAGATCTGGTCCAGTCAGATGTATTACTCATTCATTCTGTGATAAAGGGCTCAGTTTCCCATGTTTTGGAAAGGCTGTTTTGTTTATTCATATTCTGGGTTATGTGTTAAGTTCCTCAGGAGTCATTATCAGAAAAAAATGAGTGCACTCTCCTCGGTGCTTACAGAATCACAGCATTTGATTTAATGGATCGTCTCTCTGTTTCATTCTGTGGATTATCAAGCACAGTTTGACAGCGTTAACCCTGTGTCAGAGTTTTTGTTTCTGGGCCACATAGTGATCGTACTTCAGTTCTTCAGAAGGTCACAGATGAGCTCTTTTTAATGTTTTCTCTAAAAAACAAAATGCCTTGGCTGGCCCAAGGGATAAAGATATAGGGTAAAATCAGGCAAAAATCAGAAATATTGATTATTTTGTACTTTCCTGTTTCTGCTGTGGATATCGGCACCTGTCAATACATACTTGGGCAAATTCCAATTGGACTTAAAAAAACACGTAAAAAGGAAAATCTTTTTGTATTTGAGATTTAAATATATATGCTATTAATTATTTTCAACACTGGTATATAGGAGTATACTAAAGGCAAGTATGTAGATCTGACATGGTGCATTTTATGCACTGGAAAAGCACAAGAAGCTTGGAGAAACACTCTGTGTGTCCTTTACTTTTGGAGGATGTCAGCAATGTGTAAAAGTCTTGCCACTATCTGACCATTTGCTTAAGCTGAAAAACCTTTTTGCTAGACTTCATTTAGTATACTGTTTTCATTGACTGCACGTTATTTTCCTAAAGTATAAGGCACACACTGTCCTCAGGAATAATGTATTTTTTGAATGGTGAATGATCTTTTCATATTCTAAATATTGTCTTTTCAAACAAATGACTGGTATGACTAGACTGCATGTAGGCTGCATTTGTGAAATCTGACAAAGCTTTAGAACCTCAGTTTGTGCAAAAATGCTCTAGATCGTTGCAGATCTAATCTATGACAACTTTGCTCTATGCATGCGCCCTTGGAGAGACTGCATGAGCAACTAGATATTTTTATGTATAAAGGATTAGTCAAAATGTCTTCATTATTCCTAACCAAATTCTGCGTCTTCGTTCAGACAAAAGAAATTTCCATTTCAGAAATGGCAAAAAAAGTCCAGATACGTGATACACATCTCATTTCTTATGACTTTTTATTCTAAATTTGTGCCTAATATGTGAGATCTGAATTTTGGTGAATAAAAAAAAGGAAAATAAGAATTCTGTTTCGTTAGCCATCCTAATAATAGCTCAAAGTCTGTCTCCGTGTAGAGGGAGGCAGTGAAAGCTCAGCATTCACAACTGAGTGCTAACAGGGTTGCCTGAATGTTGAGCCCAGGCTCACACAGCACAGTGATTGAGCATCCTGATGGAGAAATAATGTTTGGAAACGAGGTAAAACTCATCAAAGGCTTCAGCAAAGTCTACTGCAGCACTCTCTTGGAGAAGCTGGCAGCCCATGGCTTGAACAGGTGCACTCTTTGCTGGGTTAAAAAGTGGCTGGATGGCCATGCCCAGGGAGTGGTGTTGCATCAAGTTGGTGGCTGGTCACTAGTGGGGCTCCCCAAGGCTCAGTGTTGGGGCCAGTCCTGTTTAATACCTTTATCAGTGATCTGGACAAAGGGGCCAAGTGCACTCGCAGTAAGTCTGCAGACAACACTAAGTTGGGTGGGAGTGTTGATGTGCTGGAGGGTAGGAAGGCTCTGCAGAGGGATCTGGACAGGCTGGATCCATGGGCCAAGGCCAGTTGTATGAGGTTCAACACAGCAAAGTGCTGAGTCCAGTCACAACCCCCTGCAGTGCTACAGAGTGGCTGGAAAGCTGCCCAGTGGAAAAGGACCTGGAGGTGCTGGTCAACAGCAGCTGAATGTGAGCCAGCAGTGTGCCCATGTGGCCAGGAAGGCCAGGGGAATCCTGCCCTTTATCAGGGATAGTGTGGCAGCAGGACCAGGGAAGTGATTGTCTCCCTGTAACTCAGTGCTGGTGAGGCCACCCCTGGAGTGCTGTGTTCGGTTCTGGGCCCCTCAGTTCAGGAAGGACATTGAGGGGCTGGAGCAGGTCCAGAGAAGGGCAATGAGGCTGGTGAAGGGTTTAAAGATTAAGTCATATGAGGAGCAGCTGAGGGAGCTGGGGTTGTTTAGAGTGGAGAAGAGAAGGCTCAGGGTAGACCTTATCACTCTCTACAACTCCCCGAAAGGAGGTTGTAGGAAAATGAGGTTCGGCCTCTTCTCCCAGTTAACTAGTGACAGAAGAGATGACACAGCCTCAAGCTGCACCAGGGGAGGTTCAGGTTGGACATCAGGAAGAATTTTTTCACTGAAAGCATTGGAATGGGCTGCCCAGGAAGGTGGTTAAGTCCCCATCCCTGGAAGTGTTCAAGAAACAACGGGACATGGCACTTGGTGCTGTGGTTTAGTTGTGGTGGTGATGGTCAGTCAAAGATTAGACTTGATGATCTTGGAGGTCTTTTCCAACCCTAGTGATTCTATGATTTAATGGCTATTTTTGTTATCTTTCTTTCCTACCCCTTTTTGCTAAAGGATTTATAGAGAAAATTTAGATGAACTCTGAAGTTAATATTGATGATGACAAGGCTAAAGTTTCAATAGTGGTGATGGAGGTTAAGGGGGTTTTTGTTAGATGTTTCTTAGAAAGTCCATGTGTTTCTTGCTACAAAATACACATCAGCTGTAGCTATGTCCTTTCCCAACAACAACTTGTCATAAAATGGGTTCTGAGAAACAGTTTGGCTCAATTGTCTCCTGTGGAAAGCTCAAAAGGAAAATATCTAGAGAGACTAGTGAAAATAGGTTAATAGGTAAATACCTTAATGCAAAAATTTATAAATTTCCAGAAGTTTCCTTCATAGAAAGCTCTGCAGAAGGAAAAATATCTTGGGAAACACAGTTTTAGGGTGATGTTAATGTGGGGAAAGGCAAGAACTTTTGTGATACTTTATTCTTCATGTGCCATTAAGATGATCAGTCTAATAATGTGCACAGTGCACAAACGCTGTTTCCTTGCTGCATCTTCTTCCACTGCAGACTCCAATTGGGAGTGTTGCCAGAGAGAATTTCTGGAGCCATGGGATCCAGTGGAGTTACCTGCAAAGCCCTACATGGCACTGTGGGACTTTGTAATCTAATCTTTTGCATTATATCACAGTTCATTAAGAGACAAATTAGCACATGCATATTTCGAAGCATCATCTCATTTTGGTTAATTGAAAACCATCCATGTCCATAAATTGAAT